GTTGTATTTGCCATGGCGATCGACGATATTGCTTGTATCTGGTTGTTAGTAGGCTTTCGAGACTACCAATGAATCATTATTTATGACTCCGGACAAGGTGCGTTCCTCAAGTCTTCCTACCAACACGACCAAGTTGCGAAAACAAGGTCAAGCAACTTGGCGTCGCCTCCTATCGCCTTGTGAAAAGAGCTGAAAGCTGTTACAGTCGCGGTCGGTCTGTGAAGAAGATGTGTCGCGAGGGCAACCAGACGATGACCCTCGTGCGCTGGCACAAGTCTTAGAACTCGCGATGCCGTGAGTATGCAGCAACACTAACCCGCATTGTCACATGAGTTTTCATCTGAAGGGTAAAGTTGGCTGGAAGGAATTTGTGATGTGGTCTCACCGCAGATGGGCTTGTGCCCAACTTGCGTGACAAAAGAAAATGTCGCCGATTTCGTGTATTTTTGCATCATTTCGTGAAGCATGCATTCGGGACAGACGAAAAGTCAGCAAAGGTCTATCGGAGAGTTACAGGACTGTGAGCCGATGACATGTTTACATACTCCGAACGTCGTCACTACGCGACAATCCTGCTTCGGTTGCCGGTGCGGCCACTTCACCAATTCCTTCCAACCAACTTTGCCCTTCAGATGCAAACTCATTTCACACTACATCACTAAGGCACACTTTGCAACCCAGTTTTTCTTCACACAAACTCGGCTCATGTCAGACAAGCCGACACAGGACGACGGCAAGCGGAATAATGGACGTGCAAACTTACTTTATACCCTTTCGCGTGTGGAGATGACGGAATGGCGCTGTAATGTTGTCATGCGACCGGAGACTTGGCTGGCAGATGCCATGACGCTTCGCATGACCCTTCTGTCGTCAGGGCCTATCGCCCATTCCAGCTCGTCCCGTCATCCGGTTTTAGCCAACTCGACTGGCGACAGGTCTTCAAGGCCTAACTAGAAACAAACTGAACACGAAGAAAAGTTGGGTTTCGAGGAATCTCTTGTTTCATTATTGTTGAGCTTACTTCCATTTCGAGGGGAAGTGTTGCGCGAAGAGATTCGATGGTTGGTTCCACCAGAAGACGACCGCGGACTCCTCTTGACCAGCTGTCGATTGGCTTTACTGAAAAATTAATGCTGACGCTATTTCCGAGGCAATCTTGTTCGATTCCGGTGAAAAGGTGCTACGCTTTCGTCTTTCATGTGACGGACATCATCAGAGCGAGGTAACATCGTCACAACGAAATTCAAGCTAACGAGTCAAGAATATTCATCGGCAAATCCCTAAAAGTGGTATCCATACTCTACATCTGGCCTTTCTGATCAAGCATAAAGTGATTTGGTTAGTTAAGGTCATGTGTCAATTTGATCAAAAAGACCAGATGTAGAGTATGTATACCACTTTTTAGGGATTTGCCGGTTAGTTTTCTTGACTAGTTAGTTTCAATTTTGTTGTGACGATGTTCGTCAAATGACGGACGAAAGCGTAGCACCTTTTTACCGGAATCGAAAGAGATTGCCTCGGAAACAGCGTCAGCATGAATGTTCCAGTAAATCCAACCGACAGTTGGTCAAGAGGAATCGGCCGTCGTCTTCTGGTGATGGAACCGATCATCGAATCTCTTCAGACAACACTTCCCCTCGAAATGGAAGTGAGCTCAACAAACTGAACACGGCTTCAAGGCCTGCTCGGAAGGGAAATCAGTTCAACCTCTCCACGAAATCACGTGACCAGAGCTC